TCCCTCCCTCACCCCTCCCTCCCTCACCCCTCCCTCTCTCACCCCTCTCTCCCTCACCCCTCCCTCCCTCACCCCTCTCTCCCACACCCCTCTCTCCCTCACCCTCCCTCCCTCACTCCTTCCTCCCACACCCTAGGATTTGCTTCTAAAGTGAAGGGAGCACAGCTCGGTACAGTACAGGATTCCAGAGGTAGCTGGCTATACAGAATAATTCTGTTTATAAAAATCTTGATTGCAAAGATATATTTTGAAAACTAAACATTTCTATAATAAAATTATTTCTCTTCCTGTCTTTCATTTTCAGCTAAGCATCAGTGTGATTTGATGCTTACCAAGGGTGGGTTTTTCAGACCCATTTCAGCTGCTGTGGCATGTGTGCAGTTGATGAGACCACCGTCCTTTCACCCTGTTGGTGTGAACCTGCTGGCACCCCTGGGGACACAGCAGTCCACGGTGGCACTAGTTCAACTAAAGCTTGAGTTTTAACCTTCTGTAAATGAAGTCATAGTGTGTCTGCACAATCAGGGTGTGTGGTTTAGCTGTCCTGTTTGGGTGACAGTTGTGATGAGCCCCTTTCCTGCTTGGTAATGTTAGTTCATGGCCCTGATGGTGTACCTCTAGGGCTTCTTGTCTTTAGAATCCAATCATGCCTTGGAATTGTTTACTTTTGTCAATTCTCTACATTTTTTTTTTAAATTTTCCTGACTTCCCCTTTGTGTTCTCATCTGAGGCCAAGCTGGGATCCTGGATGCAGACCCTCTGCCTCAGGGGGACACAGGAAGCTCTCAGTACCTCATTTATCCAGAGCATGGAGCCCACACTTGTTAAAGTTCTGTGTCTGTCGGTACTGCAGCTTCCTTTTATTCACGCGGTCAACGTGTGTTTCCATGTTCATTTCATTGCATGGTCAACAAAGGAGTCTGCAGACACGATTACAAAGAGGGCGTGTGCACTGCAGTGTGCAAAGGAGCACACATTGTGTATGAGCATTGGATATAAGATACCTTATTTCCTTTAGGACTCGACGCAGGGCTGGGTTTGAGACCACTGAATCAGGGTTGGCCGTGACTGCCTTTACTAGCTGTAAGACGTAAAAAGTTAAATGACCCATCTGCGACTGTATCGAGCCTTTGGTTCTTGGCATTGAGTAGTACAAATTCATGCCTTTGAGTCTCAGAGTCTGCTCGAATGCAGTTCTTTTCATCTTTATGGCTGCTTACAACCACTGAATGTATCTTTTTCTTTTTACTGTGTCCTGATGTGGTTCAGAAAGTGTCACAACCCAAACAATAAATCCCCATAGTGGCATCAGGATCTAGGGTCACCAGAGGAGGATTGGTAGTCCTTCCTCATTATTCTGGATAAAGACAGATAAAGGAATTGAATATCCTGGCATACACAAAGGTTTCTAGGCAGAGTAGCTTGCTGTCTCCAGCTCCTTGGTGGCCTAGGAGCAGCATTTCAATGATGTCTAGAAACCTAATCCTGGGGCACCTGTGTCTAGATGGGCAGGCTTTTCCTGTGCGCCTGCTTCACTCTTTTGTGGATTACCCACTGCTCAGAAAGGAGAAAAGTGTAGCTTAGCCTGTGCCAGGCCAGGGGGCAGAAGTACTCTTGGTGCCCTTGGAAGTTCAGCTGCAGTCTCTGGTAGATTAATCTGATTCACAGTGCCATATATTCCTGGCATGGGGACCTTGGCAATCTTGGCTAATACTTATGGCATGCCTACTTTCTAGCCAGGCATGTGATATGTGGAAGGGGCAAGGAGCGTACTCACTCAGCCTGTCCCTGAGCTACTCAGGTTTGTAAAGCATACAAGTGTCCTGTGGATACAGAGATACTGCATGAAGCTGGGCCCCCAGGAGAGGCTGGGGGTGAGGGTCCCTCAAATGTAATCTCTCTCAGCAACAGCAGCTGACAGAACAGAAAAATCCTATTCAGAAAAAACAGGGAGGGAGCCCCCAGTGAACCTCAGGTGATGCTCTCTCTTCAGAAGCTCATTCTAGGTGCCCAGGGGGTGCTGGCCTGACCCCTGTGGGGTGCTCTCAGCCCTGGTACTGTGCCCTGAAAAAGGCTTTAGGGGAGAGGGTACCTTGCACCCCATTTCTTTTTCCTGTGACTACTTATCCAGTCTAATGGTGGATGTAGGGTTTCTGAATGAAGAATGCCTGGCCTCCTGCCCGCAGGCCCCACCAGGCACATTCCTTCAGAAACAAAGCAGCTTTTCTCCAAGGGTTCCACAAGTGAGCGAGTACTCTCAGGTCTCAGGTTAGCAGTTTCCTAAAAGATTGTTTTAAAAGGCTGCATACTACTAACACGATTTGCACACCAACCTGTGTAAACTATCTGAAAAGAATACAGTAGGGCTAGGCGTGGAGCTCAGTTGATAGAGGGCTTGCAAAGCATGCAGGAAGCCTTTGATTCTGCCCCCAGTACCAGACACAAGCAGCATGGTGGAGTACACTTTCAATCCCAACATTCCAGAGGTCGGGAGGCAAGAGGATCAGAAGTTCAAGGTCATCTTCAGCTATCCAGAATTGATGCCCAGATTGGGATACACAAGTGCCTGTCTCAAAAATAAAATTGTAAAGGACCACAGTGAAAAGTCTTGTCAATATCATGTCAGGGGCACCCACCCTCCCAGGCCACCCCTGGGGTCATCCTTTTGTTAGTGTCTCATGCACATGCCTGCCCAGGGTAGCTTTGCACTAGGACTAGTAAATGTGACCCCGTATTCACTTTCTCTCCCTTTGCATACAAAAGAGGACAACTGGATAAACTATTCTGTGCCCGGCTCCCCTCTTCTCTCTACATCTTAAAGAACTTTCCAGGTCAGCCTAGAGAGAGTCACCACTCCGTGCACCTACCCCAAGCTCTCGGTGTGGAAACACATGTGTGTCTAGCTGAGTCTCTTGTTATTCTTCTGGGATGGATGGAATGCATATGTTCTCTTCATCCTCAGCCTCCGTGGATCAGCTGCACTTACCACCAACACCACCTAGTAGCCACAGCAGTGACTCCGAGGGGAGCCTGAGCCCTAACCCCCGCCTGCATCCCTTCAGCCTGTCTCAGGCCCACAGCCCTGCCAGAGCCATGCCCCGGGGCCCCTCTGCGTTGTCCACATCTCCTCTCCTCACAGCTCCACATGTAAGTATCTGAGTGGCCCTTCTGGGGAGCCAGGAATCCTCTCAGTAGGATTTTTCATTCTTGAAATGAAATTTTTGTTTAGTGATTGGAAGTCTTTGTCTATGCTATGTTGCTGTAGCAAATTAACTGAGTAAGTTAGGAAAGACTATTTTTTTTTGTTTGTTTGTTTTGATGCATAGTCCTGGAGGTGGTGAATTCCAAGAGCATGGCACCTGCACCTCCTTAGCTTCTGGAGAGGATGCTCCATGCAGAGCAGGGAAACAGAAAGAAGAAGCAGGGGACAACACACACACACACACACACACACACACACACACACACAC